AAAAAAACTCTTACATTCCAACGAAAATTTTCTGTTGGAATTTTTTATATTTCCGTTGGAATAGCTATTCCAACGGATATTCCTACGTATAAAAATCCGTTGGAAAAACGGTCGTTGAAATAGCAAATATCCAACGAAAAGTCCTATGAAAATAAATTTCTACAGCTATTCCAACGGAAAAAATCCATTGGAATTCCTCAACTATCCAACACTTATTCCAACATAAAATTAAGTTTGTTGGAATTCAATGGAATTTCCAACAGAAATTTTTGTCATTGAAATTTTTCGTTGAAATTGTAGTGTTTTTTTGTAGTGGTTTGATTCTCGTAAACATGCCTTTATTCTACATACCAATCCCGGCCCCGCATCTCATTAAGACAACAGAGATAAAGAAACACCACAACTTAGTTTTGAAAAATTATAAGTCGAGAATACTTAAAAAAAAAAAAATATTGTGTAGTTTATCTATTGATTAAAGTTAAAAAAAAAAATCACTGCTCGATCAAAGATCACTGCTTTTGAATGTGGATACAAATTCCATATGTGACGGGACAACAAATGATATATCAACAACGACAATACACCTACTAGTAAACCAACTTAGTACTATTATCATTTATTGATTGGAACTGCTAAAAGGTTACAGCTCAAGAAAAAGTGGTCATTGATTTAATGTGTGGTAACACCAAGTATTGTAGGGTTGGCGGGCCAAGCACCATAGGCAGTTAGGCACTACGACTGAGTACAGATCGGTTCGATTCGAAGATCCAGAAATCTATAGAATCGAACCGAACTTTGGAGATTCCAAAAATCAGATTTCTGGAATGGATGAATCAGTTCCAATACATCTCCGTTCTAAACCGAACCGAAATTTCGGCGATTCGAGTTTAATGGGTCGCTTCGGTACGGATAGGAGATTTTGGAGATTTTCATTTTTCATATTTTTTTTTTTAAATCTCCTAATTACATGCTAGATGGTACGTATCATGGATGAAAGAGAATCACAAATTTCACTTAATTTCAAAAGATATTACGTCTAAGTATATGTGGTTAAATCTTTTTTATTTCATAAAAAAGAGTGATAAATATCTTTTAGTTGTAAAATATTATTAATTCAAAATATAATTTAATTTGAAAGATTTCCATGCTAATCGTTTATATGCCAAAAAATCCGCAAGTGATAAGACTTACATAATAACAATAATTAATATAAAGATAGTTACTTGTTAAATAAAATGATGTTTTGGAAATATATTATGTCCAAATAAATCTCTCATGATATATATTGTGAGATATGCATATAATACACATAAAGTTTGTTCCCGAAAAGTGAAGATATTAAATGTTCTTAAGTTATAATTTATTATTTTATCAACGAAATAATCAATATATCCATTTATAATCCAATATAATGGTAAAAATATCTATCAATTTATTTTTATTTTAAAATATATCACTTATAAATAAATAATTCTCTCCAAATTTAGTGAAAGACTTACTTCATAAAGTTTAGTTTGCAAACATTTGATATTTAAATTATACTAAGTTACAATTAATGATTTTATTAATAAAATATTTGACGTCTTGGCTACCAAATTTTGTGATATATAGGAAAGTATAGTAATTTAATTTTCTCTTCAAAAAATTGATTAAAATTAATTCTTAGATATAATAATGTCTCATATATGCAGTACAAAAATAAAATAATTATATTTTTAATAATTGAATTTTATTAACATTCAATAGTGGATGTTTATTCGCAATTCAATTTTCAACATAATATATGATAGTTTTATGGGCATGACATAATGTATATAGAATTTATTTACAATTAAATTTAAAAAATAAAAAGTTATGTACAAAGATGAAAAATAACATAAGATAGAATATTATTTGTAAACGGATTTTATGAATTGGAAAAAGGTCTTGTTCAGTTCCTCGTACGGTTATTTTCGTTCGGTTCAGTTCTCAGTACGGGTATTTTATGAATGCCCAGAATTGTACCAAAAAATTTCGGTATAATTCGGTTCGGAGATAGTTAAGTGTTCAACGTATATTTTTCGGTTCGAGATAAATTTTGTTCAATTTTTGGAACGATTAGGTAATCTCCAAGTCCCGTGCTCAGCCCTAATAGGGCATATTTGCAACTGATTTCCTTACCCAAACCCAACTGCCCCTATAAAGATGGGGAGTCTCTTTTGATCTTCACTGTAGTGTGCCGTTCAAATAAGAAGAGTCGGTTTATTTATTCTGTGTTTGCATTGCTCTTCTTTTATTTTTATTTCTCAAATAAATTTCTAATAAGCTTTATTAATACTATTTAGATGTCCTCATCTATTTAATCTAATGAAGTAAATATTTTTTTTTTATAAATGTCCTCATCTACTTAATTTATTAAAAAAAAAAAAATCTAAGTCGTTTGCTATGTGAAAAATCGTTGAACTTCTAAGTTCGAGTGCAAAACCCTTGTGGACCTTACTTAGCCCATTTATCCAAGTTTCAAGCCCAATAATCTCGGCCCTTTTGTACTTGGAAGTTGGAAGATCCATTTCCCATATGCTTGTTTTGGCTCTATTTTTGAAATTCAAAATTCAAGGCTTTGTGGTTAAGTTTGGAAAGCTTCTGATCCCCGCTTTGGAGCCAAGGACCCGGCCACATTACCCACACCCACACTGAAGTAGTTGCTAATTTTTTAAGTTCCAATAACAAACTTTTTTTGTGTTGCTTTTTAGCTAATTTAATTATTACTTGTGTATATAAATATTCAATTTATCAATCTTTTTATTTCTATTTTATTTTTATTTTTTTATAATATTTATTCCTATGCATTTTTTGAAGAAAACTGAAGTAGTTTTTCAATGAGATTTACAATTTGAATGGTTATATTTTATGCGATGTAACTTCCTTTTTTATTTAAAATTCATTAAAATCTATTTTTCTTATATGTTTCTCTTACCTTGCAGTTTTACTTGTTTGGAAGTGTTTTCAGAATTTTTGGAAATCTATATGGCTAGTACTTTTCATGGACACTTCTAATTTTTGTGGGCAGTTATGTATTTTTCCCATTCTTAATTGATACGCGGTTTTGGGTGGCGGCCCGTTTTTTTCCCTTTCTGGGAAGATGCGACGGAAATTCCAGCAATGTCCACCGTGCTGCTTCTCTTCTCCTGGTGTTGGAAGGAAGGATTGGCAACTGAGGCCAGACCGAGGTCCGAGTATTGAGCTTGGGCCTGGTTTGTTTTGGTGTCAATTGTGGTTGGTTGATGTAGGATCTCCAGCCTAAGGCAGAGGCGTCATCCGAATTAGGGTTGGGGTCGGGCTTAGTTAGGCGTTCTTCTGCAGTTTATGGGTCGAATTCTGGGGCTATGACTCGATCCGTTTGGATGGAGGTCTGTTTGGCCGTTGAGTAGCTTGGTGTAGATGTCTGTTGTGGGGAGGATTGTGTAGTTGTATTTAGTTTTCCTAGTTGTTTTAGATTGGTTGTTTGTTCGTGTTCTGTGTGTTTCGTTTCGTTTTGCATGTGTTCTCTTTTTCTGTTGTTGGAAGTGTGCTTTGTGTATTCTCCTATTGTGAGCTTTTGTTTGTCTATTTTAGTGTGTGTTGTGGTAAATTTAGTCCTAGAGCACTCAGCTGTGGGTGTCTCTCCTTATTAGAGTCAGTTGGCTCGCAGTGATTACACAATGATTAGACTGGATAAAAAAATTTAATGAATTTATTAATATTTATCATTACATATGACTCACAATATGCACATCATGTAGAACTTAATAATTAATAATGTTAAATAAAAATATTGTTTAAAATATAATATATTTATAACTGTTATATAAGTTCTATCATGATTATTTTTTAATTCTAACTATAGAATATTGCATGTATAAAAATCAACACACATTTTTGTTATATATATAAAAATAAATTATATAAAAAAATATATATAAATCTCAAATGCGGCACCTGGATGCTGAGGTAACTGTCTAAACCACCTAACCAATCTAGGCGTGACTAAATTTGCAGTTGCCTAGGGTCCGTAAACGACGTCTAATTGTCCGAGCGACTAGATGAAAATTAAGACGATCGGGTGGCGCCTAACACTTAGGCGCTGACTAGACATACACCTATCCCGAATTTTAGAACACTCGGTTAAAATGGCTAGCAATAAAATCAAGTTAACAAAAGTTAAAGAAAATGCAATGCGATATCTGAGATAAAACAATTTTATGGAGGCTCCAAGGAACAAAAAATAAATAAATAAGCTTCAACAAATCAATATCCATTGCCTCATACTAGAATAAGCAAGTTACTGATTTAATTAAATCATACAAACTTTGAAAGACTTTAACATGACCAACTGAATACACTGGTTAGTATTTTTTTCGCAGGTTAGGATAGCAACATAAAAACTGTACGTAAAATGTGTGCTCATGAGCTCACCGGCATCACCGCGAATTCTCTGCTTTATATTTTTGGAGCTCCTCCTGGGCACGTGCAAGCCTACGCAAGAGGAATGAGTTACTTTAACTTAATTAAATACAATGAGGTTTCATTTGGATGGAAGGATTGAATTTAAGATGGTTTTTTCAAGTCCACAAAATGCAATAACTCAACAGATTTGCCATCATATGAATTTGATTTTTTTTTTTTCCCCTTTCAAGTCCTGTCCAAATGGAGCCTAGTACTGCTGTTGTATTCATTACGGATAAGGAATCATACCTTAATTGGAGGTCATTGATTTCTCGAAGCAACTCCCGTTCTCTATCATGAGAAGCATCTAACTACCAAAAGGAAATTTTAATAAATAAACATCAGAATTATATATACTTTAGAAGAGTAATCCAAAACTGCCTGAAGTTGTTGCATCTTCGTATATGATTAAGTAAATTGTGGAAGCATATCAACCAAAACCTAAATTTTTTGCATACCAAGGATTTATCAGCGTATGCCATGTTAATCTGTGGGCATTCCACATCTGCAAATACAGATAATCAAGTTAAACAAGAAACACGCAAACACACAGAGTTATATATATATAATTTGGTTCAAATAGAAACCGCTTCTTAAAATAGGAAGACCAGGCCAAATTCTACCCATTCAAAAGACAGGCATAAATGTGTGTTCATACATTTTTAATATGCATTAAAATTGTTGGCGATTAATTGATCAATAAAAATATTTTAGA